CTGACCCCTCAATCCCCAGCTGCTCCAGATCCCAGCAGGATGTTCTTTCATTCTCCCTCCTCTGCCGAGGGTCGTACCCAGAATCCCAGTGCCACCAGCAGCTGGTGGGAATGGGAGGTTTGTCCAGCCCGGGTTCTCTGGTGTCCCACTGAGCCTCCTGGGGTGTCTCACTGATGCCTTTGGTGCATCTGGGTACCAGTGCTAGGGGGGAGGAGGAGGCAGGCAGGGCACAGGGATGGCTGTGGGAGTGGGGAAGCTCTGGATAAGGTAAAATAATGAACTCAGCAGGAGGATCCCTTCGGGCACAAAGGGAAAGGTCCCTGTGCTCCTGCCTGCAAGTCCTGCTGTCCTGGCAGTGCTGAGAGGCAGATTTAGGGCAATGACTCATGTAAGTGCTGTAAACCTTTCACAGTCACACAATCACACAATCACTGAATGGTTTGGGTTGGAAGGGACCTTAAAGCCCATCTCCTTCCACCCCTTGCCATGGGCAGGGACACCTTCCAGTGTCCAAGGTTGTTCCAAGCCCCATCCAATCTGGTCTTGGACACTTCCAGGGATGGGGCAGCCACAGCTTCTCTGGGCAACCTGTGCCAGGGCCTCACCACCCTCACAGGGAACAATTTCCTCCCAGTGTCCCACCTAACCCTGCCCTCTGGCAGTGGGAAGCCATTCCCTGTTGTCCAGGCCCTTGTCCCAAGTCCCTCTCCAGCTCTCCTGGAGCCCCTTTAGGCCCTGGAAGGGGCTCTCAGGCCTCCCCAGAGCCTTCTCTTCTCCCGGTGAACAGCCCCAGCTCTCCCAGCCTCACTCCAGCCCCCACACTCAGCACAGTCCTTGCTGCTGCTGCACCTCTGACACCCGGGTCCTGCCAAACCCAGACTGATCACAGTGCCAACAGCTGGGACAAGTGACACAACAGCACTGGGGGCTGCATGGGAGGCTGGAGCTGTGCTGGACACCAGCTGTCTGTCCATCCATCCATCCATCCATCTGCTTCCTGGCAGTGCTGGGGAGGGGAATGACCTGCACACCCCCTGCTCCAGCTCCATGAGGATGCAGGGCTGGGCTGCAGCAAGGACTGTCAGCTCAGTGGGCTTCTCCCAACATCTTTAACAAGACCAAGGGCTGGTGCTGCACCTGGGTTGGGGCAACCCCTGGGATCAATCCAGACTGGGGATGAGCAGATGGAGCAGCCCTGGGAGAAGGACTTGAGGGGGCTGGTGGGGGAGAGGCTGGACATGACCCAGCCCAGAACCCCCCGTGCCCTGGGCTGATCCCCCAGCGTGGGCAGCAGGGCAGGGGGGATTCTGCCCCTCTACCCCTCAGCTGAGACCCCCCTGCAGAGCTGCTCCAGCCCTGGGGAACAGCACAGGGAGCACATGGAGCTGCTGGAGAGAGTCCAGAGGAGGCACCAAGATGATCAGAGGGATGGAGCAGCTCTGCTGGGAGGAAAGGCTGGGAGAGTTGGGATTGTTCAATCTGGAGAAGAGAAGGCTCTGGGGAGAACTTAGAGCCCCTTCCAGTTCCTAAACAGGCTCCAATAGAGCTGGAGAGGGACTTGGGACAAGGGCCTGGAGTGACAGGACAAGAGGGAATGGCTTCAAACTGCCAGAGGCCAGGGTTAGATGGGATATTGGGAAGAAATTCTTTCCTGTGAGGGTGGTGATCCCAATCCTGCCCTGAACAACCCGTCTGGGTGTGCTGTGGGAACACAGTGGGAATGGGCCGGGCAGTCCCGTCTCTCCAGCCTGGCTGGAGAACTCCTGAGCAAGGGCCACACTCCAGCACCTGCATCTCCTCCTCCTGGTCCTGGGATTCCTCCCCACCCTTGGTGTGGCTCCTGATTTGCAAACAGCAAAGAGAGGAGGGCATGGATACCCCGGGGTCCTCTTGCCAATCGAGATCCAACTGGTTTAGGGTCAGGGGCTGCAGATGCACCTTCCAGCACCCAGAGCAGGTCGGGGTGTGCGTGGGAGCCTCGGGCACAAACACGTTACAGAACAGCGGGTGGACCAGGCTGAGCCAGCCTTGCTAATTAAACACTGATTTATGTTTAAGCCAGCGGGATCCTGCCTGCAGCTCACCACTGCATTTGCTTATTAACCTGGATTTGGTGCCAGCTCGGTGTGTGCTCACTCACCTTAGCGCTGGCACGCTCAGCACAGAGGCAGCGAGGAGGAGGAGGATGAAGCTGCTGGGAGCTGCCCAAAGCAGGACGTGCTTCTCCCACGCTGGAGCTACTTTTTGCAACTCCGGAAGAGCAGGAAACACTGGCCCAGCTTGGCTTTCAGAGCCACCCCTGGAGTTCGTCGGGATGTGGGCACCCGGAACACGCCGGCAGCCCTGGCAGAGCTCGGGCACTGTGACACCCCGGGGCTGCTGTGTGAGCCCGGGGCAGGTATGAACAGCTCAAAGGGACCCTTCCACCTCCCCCCCGTGCGGGGATGTCACGGGGCTGCCCTGCGGGGCAGGGGGTGCTGCCCGGGCAGGTGCCAGGGCTGAGTGCCAGAGTGCCCCGGCCCGGAGTGCGGGCCCAGGCTGGGCAACAGCAGGGCAGGAGGGTCCTGCAACCAGGAGGTGCCACGGCAGGGCTTTGACAGGCAGGGCCCGGCCCTGCTCCCAGCTCTAATCCCATCCGCTGGCCCTGCTCCTCCTGCCCTGCTTCCCAGATCCAGTTCCCAGCCCCCTGCCCTGCTTCCCACTGCCCTGCTCCCAGTTCCTTGCCCCGCTCCCAGCCTCCTGCCCCACTCCCAGCCCCGTTTCCAGCCTCGAGCCCCACTCCCAGACTCCTGCTCTGCTTCCCCTGCTCCTCTCCCATCCCCCTGTCCTGTTCCCAGCCCCCCGCCCCGCTACCCCTCTCCCATTCCCATTCCCGCAGGGTCTCAGCACCGTGGCCCGGTCAGGGGGCGTGGCCTGCACAGACCCCGCCCCCGGAAGGCAAGGTCTGAACAAGCCCCGCCCCTCGCACCCTCCCGGGGCTGGGACCGGGATGGGGCCGGTCCCGATCCCGATCCCGTCCCTGTCTCGGGCCCGCCCGCGGCCGGCAGCAGCCCCAGCCCTGCCCGCCCGTCCTCACCTCCCGCACCCTGCGCCAAATGGCGGCGGGGGGCCCCGCCCCGCTCCCCCAGCGCCGGGCCCGGCCCCGCCATCCCGCCCGGGACACTCTCACTGCCCCTCCTTCCACACCACGGCACGTACAGGCACAGAGATGTCACGTCTTTAATTTAAAAACCCCAAATACATCCACACACACAGACCCATTTCCCAGCGCTCGGTGTTCCCAGGGAACAGGGGCACCCCCCGCTCCGAGCCCCCCTCCTGCTCAGGAACACCTTTCCCTCTCTTATTCTGATCCAGAAACAAGGAGCCCCAGCACCCTTTGGAGAAGGGCAGGGATACATTTCCAGCCCACGGGCTCCAGAGAGGACTCTCCTTTTCCCTATGGAGCAGGATGCCCGTGCTGTACAAACACAGCTTGTCCTGTTTGTCACCAGACAGCCCGAGCCACACACCCCCTCCCAGCACACACCAGCACCTGACACCCCCCCGTATTAACAAAGAACACTTATTGCTTTGGGAAATGTTTTTACCTCCCAGTCTCACCTCCTGCTCCATCCCAGCCCCCTTCCAAGTTCCAGAGAAGACTCTGTATAACTGTGTTTCCCACAGGAGGTCCCCAGCTCCATCAAGTCCTTGGAGATCCTTGATGGAGAGATGTGATCTGGTTCCAGTGCAAAATGCTGTGTATGAGTTCAAGCTCCATTCAGGACACAGCAGGTCCAGGGAAGTCACTGGCTTTGGTCTCCCCACCTGTATCCCTCTACAGCTCTGGGACTCCCACAGGAAGGACAGGGAAGATACCAACCCTAGAACCAGGTCCAACCACCTGAACAGACGTCTAATATATTCTACAAGATATTTAGTAGATAAAAAGCAACATTAATTCTGCTTTCTGCACACACTCGTGCTCAAAGGTGGGAAATACCAGAACTAAGACTGCCTGCTCTGCCAGCCCCCATCCTGGAATAATCAACCCTTAATAACCAATCCAGCCC